TTTTTTTTTGGTTTTTCAATGAATTTTTCCATTCAATTTTTTTTTTCTTTAAAAAAAATGATGAAATTTTTTTTTTTTTTTTTTTTTTTTTTTTTTTTGATTATTCTTTGAAATTGCATCAGAATAAACAGAAAAACAAAATGAAAATAATAAGATAATTTTATTCAGGTCACATCATCATTGTTTGTTTGTTGTTGTTGTTTTCTTTCTTTTTTCTTCATTGATTTGATTCAATCTTATTTATGAATTTTCATTGTGTGTGCGGGGGAGGATGCCATAAAGAAAAAACAAAATTCCATTTCAAATCAAAACAAATCAGCAAACGTTAAACACAAAACAAAGTTTTCATTCAAAACAAAACAACAAAAATTCCAGTTTGATTAATTAATGATGATAATCAACATTCAATTATCAAATGTGGTGGTTACAACAACAGCAACAAATTCTGTAAATTCAGTAAATAAATGTTCAAATGTTTCATTTTCAATCCATCTTGATAAATCATCATTTTTCTGACCATCATCATCATCATTTTGATGTTGATTTATTTCATTTTGTTTCATTTTTTTGTGATATAATTTATTATTATTGTTTTAGTTGTTTGTTTGTTGTTTGCCAATTTTCTTTCAAAAAAAATTTACTTGACCAATTTGTTTATGGGGAAAAAAATCTTGCTTTTCAGATTTTTAGAGCTTCCAAAACAAGGAAAAAAAATAAGAAATCCTATAGCTAAAGCCAATTCTAGACCAAAAAACACAAAGTTATTCGATTCTTGCGCTACAAAACCAAAAAAAGAAAAAGATAAAACGAATCACATAAAGATTTAATGGACTGAAAGATATTTGTCGTTTTTGCTTGCTTGTTTTATTTATTTGTTTTTTGTTTTTTTCTGTTGACCATCATCTTAATAAAATATAAAGTCAGTGAATGAATGAAATGGAAATGGAAATGGACTTTGTGCTTTGCTTAGCTTTGTGTTTTTATTCTATGATTCCAAGGGATGATGATAATTTACGGTCGGATTTTTTTTTGTCTTGTTTTTTTTTGATGAACTCAAATTGAATTGGAAAATGAATATTTTACAAAGTTTTTTTTTGTTTGTTTCGGGTCAATTTTGACAATAACAAAAAATTTTTTTCTATTTGATTTTGCTTTGATTTTATTCATTCATTCAGTCAGTCAGTCAATAAGATTCAATAGTTTAGGGTAAAATATAGTTGAACAAACAAGCAAACAAAGGTAGAAATAGCTAATAATGATATTTTTCAAGATGTTTTTGTCTGTTTATCTTCTATTCAATTCATATTGTTTGAATTTCATTTTCTTTTTTATTATTAAGATTTCATGTTAATTAGATGAATTTTTTTCTTTCATTATTATTGAAATTGAAAAAAATTATGTGTGTGTGTGTGTGTAAATATTGCAAACTTTGAACAAAAAAAACAATATTGAATTTGATGATTTTTTATTTTCCATGTTGTCAAACAAAACAAACAAACCAAAATGATGATGATTGAGAAAAAAAATTTGCATTTCTTTCTTTGGTTGGATGGATGGCCCTGATACGCACACATAAATCAATAGAAAATGTTTGCTTTTCCATTTTTGTTTAACCCCTTGTTCTACACACACCTATATCTTTACTTTTCAAAATATTTTCTTTTTGATTATTATCATTTCATCTTTGTTCTGGTTGTTTTATACAAATACAAATCACAAATATGAAATGGAAAAAAATTCAGTGTTTTTATTTCAATATATATTTGCTTTATCATGAATGAAAAAACAAAAAATGGGAATTCAATTGAATGCAATGAAACAGAGAGAATATAGAAGCATCATTTCATTTAAAAAACCGAAATTCAATGATGATGAAAAATAAGTGTTGAAGAAGAAGAAGAAGCCATATAGAAAGAAAGAAAAACTAATCAAATTTTTTTTGCACTCACTCTCTCTCTATTCGTGAAATGAATTATCTACGAAAATGAAATGAAATGAATGAATTGGATGCTAAACAATTTGAACGAAATTCTTCTGAAATTCTGGATGTGTGTGTGTGTGTTGAACAAATTCTTGTTGACAAGGTGCATGCGCCTTTTCAGATAAAATTTAAATTGTTTTCGATAATTTTATCCAAATAATGATGATGATTTGTTTTGGGGGAAGGGGGGTTTGAGAATAAAATGCCAAACATTTGGACGCATCAAAATGATGATGATGAAATGATGTTATTGTTTTGTTTTGTTTGTTTGTTCATTTTAAAATTTGCTGTCATCATTATTTATTCATTTATTTTTTTTTGAGAAACTTTTAGAGAAAACAAAAAAAAGTTCCTGATCAAACATAATGACATCCAATAAAAGAGAAAACAACAACGTCAACGTTTGAATCTTTTGAGATAAGAAAGTGTTTTCTTTTGGAAACAAGTGTATCAAAACATTCATTCATTCATACATTGTTTATGAATTTAAATTTTTTATTTTTTGTCATGTTTCATTTTTTTTCACTGGAAACAAACAAACAACAAACAAAAAATGAATCATAAGAATATAGTGAAAAAACAAACAACAACAAAATTCAAAATTCAATTTTAACCTTGTTATCAACGAAAAAAAAAATATAAATCACAAAAAAATATTCCGAATCAGTTGGATTTCTCTCTTTTTTAAATTGTCTCTTTTTGTCACACACACACACAATTCAAGATTCAATATTGGATCGACATCGCGCTGCTCGAGTTGTGAGGCAGACCAAAATTATAACCATTTATTGTCTTGTCCAATCTTTACAAACATTTTAGATTCATACAATGCTGTAAATATTGATAATATTGAAAATTTAATGGTAAATTTATTACGAGAAAACAAATTCGAACAATTCGCAATGGATATACATAAAAAATTAATAAACTTAAACTCATCTATAATATGAGAACATAAATTCAAAACTTAAAAGTCGTTATACAAAATATATTTTCCACCATATTATTTACATTAAAACTAAAATTGTTACAAAATATTTTTTTTTNTTTTTTTTTTTTTTTTTTAAAAAATTAAAAAAAATTTTGGGTTTTTCTCCTTTAAAAAAAAAAAAAAAAAAAAAAAAAAAACACAATTCAAGATGAAAATTCTCACCCAAAAAATTGGATACAAATTCCATATCTATGTATATATAGTAATAAAACTTGAAAAAAATGAAAAAACTCTGGTTATGGTTTGAAAAAAAATTGGTTAAATTTAAATTTGATTTTTATGTTCAATTCTGTTGAATGATGGAAAAAAAAATTCTTGAAAGCCTTTTATTTTTTCGGTCCAGGAAAAATCCATCCATCCAGCTTTTTTTTTTGTTGGGGAATGTCAGTCTGATAGATAACCATACAGTCAATGTGAAACAGAGAAGAGAAAAAAAACTGATGATCATCATCATTTCTTTCATCAAATAATCCGGTTTAATGTTACATTTTTTTTTCTTTTTTAGGAAAAATTTTCTTAAGAAGAAATTTTCTAGGAATTTTTTCTATTTATTCATTCATTCATTTTTTTTCTTTTCTCTCTCTTTTAACGACAGAATATTTTTTTTTGTTGCATTGATGCACACACATCAAATGGTCATTGATCATCATCATCATCATCAATAAAATCGATCAATCAAAATTATCTATCAATATTATCTATTGCCTAAGATCGATATAATTTTCAACATCGATAACTAACTAATAATAAGTAAATAAAATCAACTTCAAGTCTATTATTATTATCAGCATTATTTTAAGCGAAAAGAATGCCCAAAAAATATTGATGATTTCATAATTTTTTTCCTGTTGTTCGAGCTTAAGATCGATCAATATTTTGTTTTTAAATATATATTTTATGGATTTTGTTTTGTTGAATAGTAGAAATCACAGTAAGTTGAAAAGGAAATATGCATTTTGATCATCTCATCCACAATAAATCTCATCAACGTCAACGTCAACAATCAAATCGAATCGAAATGAAAATATATTCTATATTCAAGATTATTGATGGCGAAAAAAACAAAACCGAAACGAAATGAAACGAAAACGGAAAATTTTTTTTATTTCATTTCAATCCAAAAAAAACGATAATAACTAAATAAATATGCTTTTCAAATGATAAAAGATCTTATTTATAACATCATCATCATCACCAAATTAAAACAAAAAAAAAAACATCAATCCACCACCCCTTAAACACACACCCACAAACACTGTACACACATAGGAAAAATAGTTACATATAAGCTACGTACACCTATTTACACCCAAATGTGAAAAAAATTATTGATTTTGAAAGAAAGAAAAAACAACAAACAACATTTCCTGAATACATATTTTATCTTGTAAAATTGTTGTAAATTTGTTGTTGTTTTTTTTGCTACATAAATATACAAATAGACACTCCCATTTTTGAGATAACTTTATTCAACCAGAATCGAGAACCAGAAACAAGAAAAATGATCTATTCAGGACAAGAATTTTAATCAAGTGATAAAGAAATGAAAGGAAAGGAAAAAGAATTTTTTTTACAAATTTTAATTATGAAATATGTTATATGACATATACCGAACTGAATTCAAATATTCTCATTGATTATATCATCTCATTATTCATTCAAAACAATATAAAAAGAATAACCGCCGCCCAGAATTATTGATAACCACCAGAAGAAGAATATTACAAATATTATCTGATTATTTGTTATCAATTTCGATCCATTTTTTGGTGGATAACCCGGGCAAAAAAAAACAAAACAAAAAATAAAAAAATGTCATCAAATTATCTAAATCCATATCAAATACGTGATAGTACTATGTACAGTAGTTATCCACCACGTACAGCAGAAGAAGCACTTTGTTTACAAGATAGAAAATGGTGGGCATTTTTATTATCAAGTATTTGTACATTTTTGGCAGGTAAAATAATATATTTTATATTTTGATTAATTAATCCTAATTATCATTATTAATAATTAAAAAATAAACATAGGAATATTTATCGTATTGGTTTATCGATTGATTGAATTTTTATTCTCAAGTTCCAGTTCAAGAACTGATCATATGAAAAGTAGTCAACAACAACAACAACATCAACAGCAACAACAGCAGCAACAACAACAACAACCAAATCGTGATAGTGGTGTTTATCAAGGTCCACATCATCATCAACAGCAACAACAACAGCAACAACAACATGGTAATACTGGACAATTAAAATTTCAGAATCAAGAATCGGTTGGATTTTTTAATCAAGATCTTGGTTGGATTGCCGAAGCAAAAGATTGGGCTGGTGAATTAATATCAGGTCAATCAACTACTGGACGTATTTTGGTATGTATCATCATCATCATCATCATCATAATAATCATTAACCCCTTTTTTTATAACTTAATTAATTAATTATTCAAATTATTATTATAACTAGGTTGTGCTTGTATTTTTACTTTCAATTGCTTCACTTATTATTTATTTTATTGATGCATCGAGAACTGGTCCACCAGGAATCGGGTAAATTTTTTTATATTTTTATATTATCTGAAGAATATTCTAGAATAGAATAGAATAACTTTGAAATTGATATTAACCAGCAGCAGCAAGAAAAAGATTCCCAAAATCCAAAAAAAATTTATTCATAAACATAATGATGATCATCATCATCATGATTTACATAATTGAGAATATAGCCAGAAGTAATAAAAAATGAAAAGAAAAGAAAAATGATGGAAACTTTTTTTTCGGGGGGGGGAATTCAATTATTTCCCGAAAAATTTCTCAACCCGTTCAAAGATTTTTTTTATTTCTTTCGTCTGAATGAAATTCCTCACCAAACAAAAAAAAAAGAAAAAAGAAATAGAAAACTTTATTCATTCAATCATTGTTCTTTCAATGATATAATTGATATATTTTCATCTTCATCATCATCATTCATTCATTCATTGAATTCAATAGAAAAAAATAAATAATAAAAACTATTGTTAACTCTTTCTACTTTCTTTTTTAACTTTTTTTTTAATCACCCATCATCATCATCATTATACGCAAACTTATAGTGATAATGTTGAAAAATGCCAAAAATGGAATGAAAATGTAACACAACAATTTGATTTAGCATTAAACGTTTTCTTTATGGTCTATTTTTTCATACGAGTATGTTTTCATTTTTTTAATGTTTTTTTTTTGAAAATTTTTAACTGATTTGTTGTTGTTGTTTTTTTATCGTCAATCAATTATCGATCAAATCAATCAATCAATCAATATTATTATTATTTAGTTCATAGCTGCCTCAGATAAATTATGGTTTATGCTCGAGCTTTATTCATTTGTTGATTATTTTACGATACCGCCTTCATTTGTTTCCATTTATGTTGATCGAACATGGATCGGTATGTTTATTTTAGATTTTAAATTGTTTTGTTTTTTTGATTAAAATTGTTTTGTTTTCTACAAATTATAGGTCTACGTTTTCTTCGTGCACTTCGTTTAATGTCATTTCCAGATATATTACAATATCTGAATGTATTAAAAACATCATCATCAATACGATTGGCTCAATTAATATCAATTGTTGTTAGTGTTTGGTTAACGGCTGCCGGTCTTATACATTTGGTAAGTACAGCAAACGAAAAGAAAAGTTGTCTTTCCTGCCTTATTTCACAAATAAAATAAAATAAAATATCTTTGCCAATTGCGTGTCAACGTCATTCATTTATTCATTCATTCAGTCATCAATTTAATTCTAGTCAGACAGAATTCAGAAAAAGAAAACGAGAAAAACATTCAAGTCCCCGATTCGTTGTTGTTGTTGTTAATGTTTTTTGTTTGCATGATCATTACATTCGGGAAAAGAAACTGCTGAAAAAAAAGAATTCAAATGTAATCAACAAACGAAGAAAGATTCATTTTAGACAATTAATTTTTATTTTTGTGCAAAAATCTCAACGATCCTTATCATTATAATAATAGTGTTTCTTTTCGTTTTTTGATTAATTAAAAATTTTTCATTTACAAACATAAAAAAAGCTTGAAAATTCAGGTGATCCATTGGATTTTCGTAATGGCCATTATATGTCATATTGGGATTGTGTTTATTTTTTAATTGTCACCATGTCTACGGTTAGTGCCAGGTTTTTTTGTTTATTAATCAATTTTTTACAAAATTTTAATTTATCATTTTCTTTTTGTTGTTTGCGTGTGGAATTAAAAATTACGTTAACCATTAATCACATTGATTAGGTTGGATATGGTGATATACATTGTAAAACAACATTAGGTCGTACATTTATTGTATTATTTATATTGGTTGGTTTGGCTGTATTTGCATCTTGTATACCAGAAATTATTGATTTGATTGGTTCAAGACCAAAATATTCTGGTACATTTAAATCAGAAAGAAGAAGGTTTGTACTTTTGGGATTTTTGTTTGTTTTTAATTCTTGATTTTAATCTTTTTCAAACATTTTAGACATATTGTTGTTTGTGGCCATATAACATATGAAAGTGTTAGCCATTTTTTAAAAGATTTTCTACATGAAGATCGTGAAGATGTTGATGTTGAAGTTGTTTTTTTACATCGTAAACCACCTGATTTAGAATTAGAAGGTTTAATAAAACGTCATTTTACAACTGTTGAATTTTTTCAAGGTTCTGTGATGAATCCAATCGATTTAAGTCGTGTTAAAGTTTATGATGCTGATGCATGTTTAGTATTAGCAAATAAATATTGTCAAGATCCAGATGCTGAAGATGCGGCTAATATAATGCGTGTTATATCAATTAAAAATTATAGCGATGATATTCGGGTATGGTTTTTATTATTGAAAATTTTTCTTATTCCTTTTTTTATTCATTCAACATTTTTTTCCTTTCGACAAACAACAACAACAACAAAAAAAATCTTTAGGTGATTATACAACTAATGCAATATCATAATAAAGCATATCTACTTAATATTCCATCTTGGAATTGGAAAAGAGGTTTGTTTTTTTTTCATTTTACTTATTTACAACATTCATTCATTCAAAGTCTTTACAACATATATCAAACATTTTTACTATAAATTATCTCATTTTCATTTTATAAATGAATGAATGATGAAGATTTAATTAAGCTTTGTCATTCAACATTTTATAATATATATCAGATATGGCAGTTATCATTGTCAACAAAGATAACAATAATGATGATGATGATGTGAATGATGACAGATAACAATAACAACAAGAGAAAAAAATCCACCAGAACCAGACTCCATATATATATAGACATTTTAATCATTCTAGCGCTGTGTGTGTGTGTGTGTGTGGATCATTCATTTATTCAGTGAATTTAGTTGGTTAGTTTATTTCAAGTCAAGTCAATTCAAGTTAGTTTAATCGGTTAGTCGACCAGAATAAAGAGAGAGAGAGAGAGAGAGAGAAAACCCGAAAAAAACGAAATTCATTATTATTGAGTTACCACCCTAGTTACACAAAACTAGACCAAAATACATAATAACCGACCAGCCAACAACTCCCCAGTTTTTTTTTCTTTCTTTCTTTCGTTTTTTTTGTTCGCCTAGTTTTACGGAAATTGTTACCCGAAAAAAAGAAGAAAAATTCTTATTTTTTTTTGCTCATTTTATCCGGACATGTATCACACACACACAAAATGATATCATTACATCATCATCATCATCATCATAGACATGGACACGTTTCAACCAAAATATGAACAAAATATTTACCCGAATCCCGAATTTTTTTTTCCTCGTTGCTTGTATGTGTAGTTCATTAAATTAATGATCCATATCGATAAAACACACACATACTATATTGAGATTGTGAGATTTTGAATCTTTTTTTCCTAGGGTAACCAAAGAAAATATTAATGGCTATTAGAATAAAAAAAAACAAGTTCTGACCACACACACACACACATTTAATGATTGAATTTCTGTTTTTTTTTTTTTTTTGGTTTTTTTCTAAATTTTTTTTTTTGGTTTTTTTTTTTTTTTTTACCCTTTTTTTTTTAAAAAAAAGGNCTTTTTTTCCTAGGGTAACCAAAGAAAATATTAATGGCTATTAGAATAAAAAAAAACAAGTTCTGACCACACACACCCACACATTTAATGATTGAATTTCTGTTTTTTTTTTTTTGGTTTTTTACTAATTTTTTTTTTGGGTTTTTCTACTTTTCCTTACCATTTTTCATTGAAAAAAAAAGGTGATGATGTTATTTGTGTAAGCGAACTTAAACTTGGTTTTATTGCTCAATCATGTTTGGCACCAGGATTTTCAACAATGTTGGCCAATTTATTTGCTATGCGTTCATTTAAAACGGTATGTTATTTTCTGGTTTTGTGCGTTTGTTTGTGTGGTTTTTCATCATCAGCTCAATCATGTCAGGTTTCCACAAATTTCCCAACATAATTTTTTTAATATGAATCATTTTCGTAAGGTAAAGGTAAATGAATTTCACTCTACCTGATTAGAATGTATGTGTGTGTGTGTGTTTGTCATTTTGTGTATTAGAAATTTTTATGCAAAATGAAACTTTTTTTTTTGGTTTGCTCATTATCATAACATTAATTAATTGTATGATAATTATGTAATAATCATAGTTTGATGATGATGATTATGATGATTCACATGATTTGCATATCATTTGTCATTTTTTTTGGCTGCTGCTGCTGTCTTCACCATTTTTGTTGTTTAATTTTGGTTTTTTTTCGGTTTTTTTCGTTTCATTATTAATAATATTAGGCACCTGATATGCCATCATGGCAAAATGATTATCTTTGCGGTACAGGAATGGAAATGTATACCGAATATTTAAGTCCGGCATTCGAAAATATGACATTTCCACAAGCAGCTGAATTATGTTTTCTAAAATTAAAATTATTATTAATTGCAATTGAAATATCAACATCGGATAAAACAGATGAAACTGGTTCAAATATTTTAATAAATCCAAAATCAAATTTTGTTCGTATACAAGGTAAAACGCAAGGATTTTTTATGGCACAAAGTGCTGATGAAGTTAAAAGGTTTGTATTTTCTTCCTCAAAATTTCAAAATATAATCAAATTTATTTCCCTTTCCCCTTACATATTTAAACCATAGAGCATTATGGTATTGTAAAATATGTCATGCCGATATTAAAGATGAAAAAGTGATTAAAAAATGCAAATGTCGTATGTGTATGTAGCATTTTATTCATTTTCTTTGTTGGTATTTGAAAAATTCTGTTAATAATTCTTGTTTGTCGTTGTCTTTGACTTTGTTTAAATTCATAGATGAAGGAAACGTATTACCAAGACATTCAATTGTTGAATTTGCCAGAAGTACACGTAAACATCGAGGTAAATAAAATTTAATTTTATAAGAAAGAAAAAACAACACTTTTCACCCATTAACACATATAACATACCCTTTTGATTATCATCATCATCATCTTCATCATTCGTCATTATCATCATCAATGATCATTGAATTTTGTTTTTTCATACAGTGAAATTTTTTCTTTGCACAACTTTCAACATATAAACGGAAATTCTTATTATTTTATTTTGCAATTTCTTTTATCTTGGATCTAAGCACAGCTACCCTGTATATCCACCCACACACACGATAAAAAAGCAAAAAAATATTGAATATTTAAAGAAATCAAAAAGACTAATTGCTGCTTTCTCTCTCTCTCTCTCTCTTTCTTTCTCTCTCTCTTTTTCCACCAAAAAATATTCCATTTTTGTCTGTTTGAATTGTGCTTGCAAAAATAACACACACACTCACCCAAAACACACCTTTGCACTTTGGATGTTTGTTTTTTTTTGAATTTTTGTGGAAAAAAATCATAATGAAAAATTAGTTCAAATTGCTCAACAAGTACCGGAATATATGGTACAATCATCATCAACAGCAACAACAACGACGACAACAACAACAACAATGATAACAGGAACCAATCCATTACAACAGCAACAGCCTTTTATAAAACCAATTTTAGTGCCACATCATCATCATCATCAACAACAACAACAACAACAACCGCCTATATCATTACATCAACAAGTTCATTATAATAATTTGGAAACTACACAATTACCTCATCCAAATCAATCAATAAATTGTTCAGAATTATCATTATTATTGAATAAAAACATCAATACAGATCAATATTTGAATGGTGGTTATAATCATCAACAAAGATCAACAAATTATCATGGAACATCATCATCAATGATGAACATGGCTGCAACAACATCAACAACAACAACGATGATGATACAACCACCATATTCATATTCAGTACCACCACCAATTTCATTAAATCATCATCATGATATTGTTGGTGTTAATTTGAATGAAACAACACCAGAATCATCATTTCAACGTCGACGTTTAGCATCATATCCAATGCAACCGAATGAATTATTATATCAACAACAACAATTAACAACATCATATCACCCAAATATTTATGACCAAAACCCAATTCATCATCACTATCCATATCATTCACAACAACAATCCGAACACTATCAAAAGCTTGAAACACAAAATCCATTATTAATGATGCCTTATACAGATCAAGAAGATGATGATGATGATGATGTTGATGATAATGATATTAACCATAATAATAATAATAATAATAATAATAATGATGATAATATTAATATTACAGATATATATCATCCACATACAGCCCCACCACCTGTACAACCACCACCACAATCATCATCAAGCCATCATTATCCATCTCAACAACAACAACAAATATCATCAACAGGTCCTGGATCATCAACAACAACCAATAATAATAATAATAATTCTATACCTGGTGGACCATCAAATACACGTATACATCATCAACGTCATCATTCTTCACATCATCATCAACAACAACATCCACAACATCAACAACAAAGACATTCATTAGTACATATGTCAACAAATGATCTTTATACAAATATTTATGATGAAAATCGTGATGGTTTAAATCCAGGTGCACAATCATCATTATCAAATTATATACCAGCAACATCAACATATCATCATCAACATCAACAACAGCAACAACAACGTAATATAACCGGTGTTACATTTGGTGATATTCAAACATCAACCGATCCATCCGATCCACAACAACGTTCATCATCAGCATTACCTTATACGGATACACAATTAGCAAGATTATCATATGAAGTTAAAAAATTAATGTATGTTTTTCTGAATTGAAATGAATTTATTTGTTTAAAATTTTAAAATTTTAAAATTTTAAAATCAGGCCTACAGCAGCTAAACCAGAAACATTTGGCCTAAGTACAACCGGTATTGCAAATGGTCCCGATATGATGGGTTTTGATGATAATAATGAATTTGATTTTGATCGTACTGAAATGAAATATGATTCAACTGGAATGTTTCATTGGTGTCCAGCCAAATTAATTGAAGATTGTGTCCTTGATCGTAATCAAGCTGCAATGACAGTATTAAATGGACATGTTGTTGTTTGTTTATTTGCTGATCCTGATTCACCATTAATTGGTCTACGTAATTTGGTTATGCCATTAAGGTAAACATATTTTATGGATTTTTTTCACATTTGTCATTTTTCATTTTGATTTTTAGAGCATCAAATTTTCAATATCATGAACTTAAACATGTTGTTATTGTTGGAAATGTTGAATATTTACGTAGAGAATGGAAAATGTTACAAAATTTACCAAAAATTAGTGTTTTAAATGGTTCACCATTATCACGTGCTGATTTACGTGCTGTTAATATAAATTTATGCGATATGTGTGTTATATTATCTGCAAAAATACCATCATCAGATGATCCAAATCTAGCGGATAAAGAAGCAATATTGGCTAGTCTGAATATAAAAGCAATGACATTTGATGATACATTGGGTAATCCAAATGAAGAAATTTCTGATGGTCGACAAAAAGGGTTTGTTGAATTTTAGTGATTTTTTTTGAAAATTGAATTAATTTTTTGTTTTTTTTTAAATTTAAAAAAGTGTTCCATTAATCACTGAATTAGTGAATGATACAAATGTACAATTTTTAGATCAAGATGACGATGATGATCCGGATACAGAATTATATTTAACACAACCATTTGCATGTGGTACAGCATTTGCTGTATCCGTCTTGGATTCATTAATGTCGACAACATATTTTAATGCAAATGCATTAACATTAATCAGATCATTAATAACCGGTGGTGCAACACCTGAATTAGAACTGATATTAGCTGAAGGTGCCGGATTACGTGGTGGTTATTCAACAAGTGAAACATTAAAAAATCGTGATCGTTGTCGTGTTGGACAAATATCATTAAATGAAGGACCATTATCTAAACATGGTAATGGTGGTGAATATGGTGATTTATTTGTTGAAGCATTACGTTTATATGGTATGCTTTGTATTGGTATATCACGTTATCGTGATATTGAATTAGCTGATAATGCATCAAATAAACGTTATGTTATTACTAATCCACCAATTGAAATGACATTATATAGTTCGGATTTGGTATGTATTATCATTGCCTGACATATTATGTGTTTTACATATTTGATTTTCTTTTATTTCTTCAATCAAAAGATTTATGTATTACTTCAATTTGATCCGGGTATTGAAGGTCATAAAATAGCAAAAAAACGAGCCAATGATCCAAACTGTATGAATAATCAATTACCAAATTTTGAAGATGATCTTATTACTGTGATTGATTCAAGAATTGCATCATCAAAATCGAATCGTAATCTTAATTCTGCTCATCATCCTCATCAACAACAACCATCATTATTACAAAATCAGCCACAATCACAACAAATTTTACCACCAACACAACAACTACCACAAGGACCTCATCATCATCATTTACATAATCAACAACAACAACATCATCATTCAAATTTAAATATTAATAAAATTATTCAAAATGATCCGATATTAACACAGCCAAATATTATGGATAATAATCCAAATAATAATCCTAATAATAATCGTAATAATTGGATGGCACAATCATATACATCAATCAATATAGCAGCAAGTAGTATAAATGCTGATCAATCAAATGGTAAATTACCTGGATCAGTTCGTTCAAGATCAAGTGATAATGCATTAATACGAAGAAGGCAAATTTCCGATTTAATTAATGAAAATGATATTTATACAATTGATGAACAGCCAACATTATCATCATCATCATCTATACATCATAATAGTCAACATAATCATCATCATAGACATCATACTTATCATCATACACATCATCATGATGGTTATAATCAACAACAACAACAACAAAGACGTGGACATTCATCAACATCATTTAGTGGCGGTACAACAACAACAGCAGCAGCAGCAGCATCAAGAAATATTATTCCAGATTATGGTCGTAGTTCAGTGAATGGTTTTAATACCGGTAATCAATTATTATCACAACAACAACAACAAAATTCACGTCCATCAACAACAGCGGCCAATAATCATCATCAACATCAACAACATCAACAACATCGAGCTCATTCTGATCAATCATTACGTAGTCGTAGTAATCAAACAATACATCAAGGTTCATCAAGACATCGTTCATATAGTTCATATCCACATCGTCGTTTACCAATGCCTGTACAGATTAATTATCCAAGTGAATGGTGATAAACATGTCATGGACACATCCAATACAAACTTAGCATATCCTTTCTTTTCTCGTTGTTAATAATATATAAAAATCCCATATAATAATTAATTGCCCGGTTTTAAAACAGGTTAATTATCTATCTATAAATATCTATATTGATTGATTGATTGATTATTGATCTTTTGATTGATTGAAATAAAACCAAAGAATAAAAAAGGGTTGTCCACATCAATCTATCAATTCATTCAATATCAGCCCAGATTTCTGTAATTTTTTTTTTGATTCGAAAATTTATTCTGTAAATTCAAAGTTGTTGTTGTTTTTTCTATTATTTTTCTTATTCTGATTCTTTTTTTTTGTCAATTTGATCAATTTTGGAATGACAATTACCCATTGGTAACCAGCAAAAACCAAACCAAAAAAACCAAACGTCCATTATTTACCCGATGTTTTTTTCCGTTTATGTTCAAATTTGTTTCCCTCGATTTTTTTTCGTTCTCTGTTTACAATTTCGATTTTGATGATCGATTTTTCTGCAAAAAAAAATAATTATAATTATTAAAAATTGATATTTTTATTCGCCTAAAAATATATACCTAATATATACATAAAATGTCGTGATTTTTTTTTTAATTTTAAATTCTTCTTTTGATTTGATGCTGTTTTGTTTTGTTTTGTTTTCTGATTTAAAAAAAAAATTAAAAAAAGATTTTTTAAAAAACAAGCCTAGTGTCGCCACCTATTGTTCATTTTCAGTAAAAATTATTTAAAATTTTTTAAAAATTGAAGGAAACAAAATGTGATTTTCATGTTTTAAGTTGCAATTTTTTTTTAAATTCACATCGGTCCAACCATCATTTAAACAACCAAAAGAAGAAATTTCAATTTAAACAAAATGAATCTATAAATAATAAACTTTTTTTCAATCGTGTAATACGATATATGGGATAATTCAATAATGAAAGAAGAAAAAAAAATTATCATTTTATGATGATCGATCAATCAATCGAATCAAATCAGGATTTATCGATTGATACAATTTAAATCAATCAATGATGAACTAATCAATTAAATACAGAGAGCGAAAGACAAATTATATCATCCATATTTAGAAAATAAGAAAGAAATAAAAATTTCATAAGGTTATTGATATGAAATTGTCGGCACACACACACACACTATATCGTCAAAATCATTTTAATCAAATCCAATTTCAAAAAAATGAATGATTTTTTGTTTTTGTTTATAAATAATTATTATGTATTCAATTACATTCGGATTGAAATCTTTCTTCGTCTTTTTTTGATGAGAAATAACCAAATGCGAAGATGGAAAATGGCAAAAGTTTTATTCCTTTCATTTGTTTTCATTGGTGTATATGATTGAACACAAAAATCCTACGGTATCAAAAGGATTGATGAAATTTTCATTATCAACCTCGAAAAGCGAAAAAAAACCGGAAAAATCTATTAGTAATAACACACTATTTCAACAGCAATAACTTTTCGACAACTTTTCATATTGCAATTTCATTCAATCATTTAGATTTTCTTAAATGTTTTCATTTCATTTCATTTCAAATAAACATTTCATATTATTCAATCAATGTCTTTGACACAGTGTAACTTTTATCGGAATTTTTCTTCTTCTTCTAACCATTTGGCTATCATCATCAGTCGCATAATCATTATGTCTTGTCTTCACATCAAAATCAAAATCGAATCAAATCAATCAATAAAAATAGAAAAAATAGAAATTTGTCTCTCTTCTTCTTCTTCGTTGACAGTTCAACGAATTTTTTCGATCGATTATTATATAAATATGGCCAAAAATGATTTGATATTTTTGATTTATCATTTTTTTTTGTAGAAAATTTTCCAAAGATCACCCAATATGAAATTTTTAATGAAAAATAAAACAATTTTTTTAATTATTTTAATCGGTTGTTTATTACCGATTGATGCTGTAAGTTTGTTTTTCGTTTTGTTTGCTTTCGTTTTTCAAAATTTTTTAAAAAATTTCCAAATAATAGTCTGGTTGGTTTTTTTCACCAAATACATCGGAAAATCAATCATTATCAAATGATAATGATATCGATGATGATGATATTGGTAATATTAATACAATTGAAGAAGTAGAACCTATTGAACAATTTCCATCAGTTAATAATGGTGGTAATGGACAAGATCAACAACCACAAGAACAAGATCAAGATCAAGAACGAAGAAATCATATGATGGGTGGAAATAGTGGTAATGTTCCAATGTCATCAAGTGGTTATTCGGAAACAGATCAAAGTCCTTATAGACAAGATTCACATAATTTTGGTTATGGAAATAATAATGATGAACAACCAGGTAAGTTTGATTTTTGGAAACAAGCAAAAATTCAAAAAACTTTCTCATTTTTTTGTGTTAATCGAAAAAATTAAAGAACAAACTTGCGGTGAAAATCAATATGCATGTCGAAAAGTAAGTCCAAATCAACCACGTTTACGTTGTATACCGAATGAATGGAAATGTAATGGCCTAAGAGATTGTGAAGAAAATGATGATGAAGATGACTGTCATGGTGTTGGTCAAAATAGTGGTAGTCAACAACAACAACAATATGGTAATAATGATTATAATCAACCACAATATCATCGTCCACAAGTTGATCAACAACAACAACAACAGCAACAATGTTTACCTGGACAACATACATGTTATGGTACAGGTATACATATTAGTATGCCATTAAAATGTTTAGAACGACAATTTGTTTGGTAAGTTTTGCTCCAAAAAAATCAAAGATCAAAAATCAAAGAAAAATTAATTAAAATTTAGTGATCAACGTGCTGATTGTCCATATGGTGATGATGAACGATCATGTCCAACATCACAAGATTCTTCTTCAAATCAACAACAACAAATGTCTGATAATGATCGTTTACGTTATCCACAACAACCACATGGTGTTTCCACTGATGGTGTATATCCATATCCTGATCAACAACAACAACCATCAACAAATTATCAAGGATCTAATCAACAACAACATCAAATATATCAACAATCATCGATACCAGATGCCGCTGAACGACGAATTGATAATCAATCACCATCAACTAGTGGTATTACGCCAAATGTTGATAATACATGTCGTCATGGTCGTAGTGAACTTTATATAAAACGTTTAGAATTTTTTGATCGTTGTGTACGAACTTGTTTACAATCAAATCGATTCAATTGATTTTTACAATTTGAATCAGAATCGTGCTCTTTAACCATCATCAAGAGATTATAATTTGAAACAACCAACCAAAACATAACAAAACAAAATAACATTGAAATAAAGATTTAGTTTTTCTATATATTTTTTTTTTCGTTTGGTTTGTTTGTTTTAGAAAAAATTGACTAAAAATTTAAATTAAATTAATGAACAAAGTAATAATAATGATTTTTGTTTAAAAAAAAACAAAAATTAATTACAAGTTTGACTTGATTACAAGACAACAAAAAAAACCGATTAACCTTCAACCGGTATAACAAAATGGAAAAGTTTTTTGGAAATTTTTTCTTTGCCCCATTGTTTTTTTGGATTTTTTTCTCAAAAAAAAGTTTCTTCACTTTTCTTCATTGACTGATGGCCATTTATGTAATTAAAGTATTTTGATGATTTCGATGATGAAATTTTCTCGATTAAATCATTATCATCATCATCAATAAATTAATGATGATGATCCAGGATGATGATGATGATGTCCTTCATTTATTGATAAGATTTTTTTTTCTTTGGAAAATTGTTGAAAAAAAATTCAAGAATCATCAAGATTTGGTTGTATGTTCTGTATATATATTATGTTCATAATTAAATTACCGCTGCTATTGCGAACAAAGAAAGATTATGCGCAATCAGAAAAGAATCTGCGGGATACATTATCCGCAGTACATTGGTAAAAGCCAGTGCAATGGAAAAAAACCCGAAAACATTACCGAGGCACTTCGGCGCATTATCATCATCATCGTATATATACGACCATAATAAGAGAATGAAAAACACGGGCAACAAAAAAATAGGAATTTTCACGAAAAAAGAAAACCTCAAACAACGGTATTAAACCACATGCACATGTGTCATTCATTTGTTTGTTTGAATGCAGAAAATGATGATGATGAAGAAGAAGAAGAAGGCCAACTATAGAACGACGACGACGATGAAAATCGAATCTGAGCAACCAGAAAATTTTTAGTTTCGAAAATTCTCAAGGACAATCATCATCATCAAACAAACAATAATTTCTCGAATAAAATATTATTATTGTTGAATCAGAATGAAACAAAAAAAAATCTAATGTTTGAAAATAGCTAATATATATAGTTAGTGAGTGAGAGTAAAGTGAATGAATGTAAAACCATGTTCTGTATATAATAATAATAATCTTAACACTGAATATATAGTCCTCGACAAAAAAGAAGAAAAGAAAAGAATATTCTTCTATTCATTTTTCTCCGGAGAGAAAGAAAAATGCTTTCGGTTTTTTGCTTTCGGTTCACATTGAAAACATTCAATAATAATTTTGAACTTGTAATTTAATTTTGCTTTTTGTTATTTGTTGTTTATCATTTATTATTGTCGAATTGACAACAACAACAACAAAATATTTATTTCATTTTAAGAAACAACAAACAAACAAACAAAAATGTTACATACCATAAATAAATATAGATCACCTTCTAATGATGATGATCATCATCATTATGATTATAATGTGATTTAGGAATTGTAATTTTTTTTCTTCTGTTTCAATGATAATGTGATAATTATTATGATTTTAGTGTTATTATTATTTTTTTCTGTCTTGTAATTTTGTTTTTTTAAATTAAAAAAATTGTAAAACAAAAACTATTATATTTTTCTTCCAAACAAAATACACCAACACATCTCCTAATGAATAATGAATTATAATCATCATTTAAGATCTAGTCTGATGATTTATCATCATCATCATCATCATCAGCAAATAAATCATCAATGTTTACGTTATTTGAATTTAAATAAATCTAGTCAACGAAAATATTATTACAATTTAAAATTTTTATCAAATCAGGTAAGTGAATAATGAAATGATTTTTCTCAAAATTCAAAATAATGAAAGGGTGTTGATTTCAAGTGTTAAAATAGCCTTGATGTTTGTTTAATAAGAAGAAACAAAAAAATTTAGCCACCTTTTTTTTCATTGATCGATCGATTGATTGATTGATCGATTGAAATCAATAATGAATGTGAAATTTCATTTTTTCTAATTGAAACCAATCCAGTAAATGATTGAAACAATTATTATTATCATTGAAAAAAAAATTGTAAAAAAAATCAACTGATAATTATAAATAATTATCTTCTCCCCCTCTTCTCCTTCATTTGTATCATTTACTTTTTTGTTGTTGAATTAACAGTTTCCTTGTTATTTTCGCTTCATTACCCCGTTTGTATGTTTGTTTAAATTGAATTTTAAAGAAAAAAATATCTGTTTTAAACACGGTTTTTTTCTCTTTCATTTAGTTTCATATTTTTCGGAAACTTTCTGTCTTTTTTAGACATTGGGTTTTTGTTTGCTGTTGCAAAATTGATGAGATTTTTTTTTTTTTGTTGAAAAAGACCAAGAGAGAAGGCTGTATGTGTGTGATACACGTGATAATATTTGTCAAATGAAAATACGTTTTTTGTTCACTGAAATGATTGAATCCTTTTTTGTTCACTGAAAACAAATGATGGAATCATAATCATCATCTGTATGGACAAACAAACAAACAATCGATTTTGATTTTGATTTACAAAAAAAAATCTGCTGTTTTCAAGTTTAGAAGTGTTTTTTGTGTTTGTATAATGGGAAATCATATATGTAGTTCACCATCATCCGGTTGTGGTTGCTTCCATGATAATGATAATAATAATAATGAAATGAAAAAAAATCCACCAATCATTTATCGTCATCAACGTCGTCATCGTTTTCCAATTGCCAATGATTCATATGCAAATTGTTCATATATTGAATGTGCTTGTTGTGGTAAAAATTTACGCCGTTGTCAATGTGATTGTGAATTAGCTGGCCGTTGTCTTTGTGCTGGTCCATTAAATTATCATCGTCATGATTTTTTAAGCATTTCTGGTGGTGCTGGTGGTTTACAGGTTTTTATTTTATTCAATTTGATTCTTTTCATTTGAAAAATACAAACAAGAAGAATAATGTTCCCAGTTTTCCCCATTATCATTAATTTCATAATTTCTGTTTGTTTTCTGTTTCTTTTCCTGTCCATAATCAAATTATGAGTCATTATTATTATTGTTTTCTGCAAGTCCCATGGTCATTTACTGGTCTATCATTTGGGATTTGTTTTCTTTTCTCCCCTTTCTTTCTTTCCCCACAACAAAATACATAATTTTTTTTTCATTCATTCATGGACAAATATTTACACACACACCATTCATTCATATTCGATTGATCAATCAATCAATCATGTTTATGTTTATGTTTACGTTTTTCATTTTAACAAAAATCAATTACAACATTATTATCCGGATATTAATGTCGAGAAAAAAAAACAGAAAAATCTAAGGGATTTTTGTTTGAAAATTTCACATCAATTTCTCTATCTATCTCTCTTCCTTTTCAATGCAACCTTGATACTTTTGTTGTTGTTGTTGTTCACATTGAAATTTTCACAGAAATAGAGAGCGAGAGAGAAAAGGAAAAGAGATAGAGAAAAAAAATTTCACAACCAAACCGAAGAAGAAAAAAAAATGTTGACGACAATCGATAATAATAATGAAAAAAAAAACATTGACGACAATCCTTTCCTTTCGTACAAAACATATCATCAAAAAAAAAATTTAATAAAAAAAATTTCTTTTGAAATTTCCAGGTAAATTTTTTGAAAAAGAAAATCGGCTGTTTGTAAATCCGAGACATTGAAATATCGTTTTGAATTGAATTAAAAAAACGTTTTACTCAATTCAGTTTATAAATTAGATTTTTTTTTTCTTCCTAATCACACCATTTTTTTTTTTGAAAAAACCACACACACATTCAATACGTGTTATTATTATTATTTGATTTTTTCCCCTAAATAGTTTTATCCAGATGTACATCTTTGCCATTGAAAAAATAATTTCTGTTTTTCTTTTTCAACTTCATTATAATTGATCTTTTCTCTTTCTCTCTCTTTCATCGACTGTTTGTGGTCACAATTTTCTTCGAAATAACAACAACAACAAAAACAAATCTTGTAATCATCGTTATTTGATTTTTGATTTTTCCTATTTACTTGCTTGTTTGTTTGTTGTTACCAAGCAATTTTTAATTCATTCATTCATAAGTTGTCTGTCAAGCCGATTGGTTTGTTGTTGTTTGCTTTACCACGTTCAAGTTGTTTGATATTTTGAATTTTGATTTTTTTGAATTTTAAATTTTTTACATTTTTACCTTTGTTTTTTTTTATAAAAAAATAGGATTGCAATAAATCAAAATCACCATTAACATTTGGTTATTGGAAATTATCATCATTGAATAATAAATTAATTCAACGTGCAACTGGATTAGTTAATGGTACATCGGTTTCATCATCAACATTAAAACAATCCTCATCATTATTATCATCACCAATTGTTAGTTTTGTTAATCGTATACAACCATCATCAACATTATCATCATCATTATCAACATCATCATCATTATTATCAACGGGAAAATTTCTATCAAATTTTGAACAACGTCGTTTTCGTTCAACATTAGATATTGAGATAGATATGCAAAAATTATATGGTGTTGATTTGTTACGGGAACCGAATGTCAATAAAGTATGTAACAACAAAAAAATACAAGCAGTTCATCAATTTGAATTGATTTTTGATTTTCGATTTTTCATTATTGTTATTTGTTTAATAGGATTTGGCATTCACAACCCGTGAACGTGAAGTTTATAAACTAAAAGGTTTATTACCGGCTGCAATACGTTCACAAGAGTTACAAGTACAAATAATTATGGATAATTTACGTTCAATCAACAGTGATCTAGGAAAATATATGTTTTTACGTGATCTACAAGATCATAATAAACGTCTTTTTTATCGTGTATTACAAGTACATACACGTGAATTAATGCCAATTGTTTATACACCGATTGTTGGTTTAGCATGTCAAAAATATAGTTTAATATTTAAACGACCACGTGGTATGTTTATTACTATTAATGATGCTGGCCGTATATTTGAAATTCTTGGTAATTGTGGTGAACCAGAAATTAAGGTAAATATTTTGCAATTTATCATTGAATCATTTTTGCAATTATTTAACACTTTATTAGGCTATAGTTGTAACTGATGGTGAACGAATACTTGGTCTTGGTGACTTGGGTGCAAATGGTATGGGTATTCCGGTTGGTAAAATGGCACTTTATTCAGCAATTGCTGGTATACCACCTGAATTAACATTACCAGTTACATTAGATGTTGGTACAAATAATCAATCATTATTAGATGATCCATATTATATTGGTTTAAAACAACGTCGTGCAACTGGTCCACATTATGATCAATTGGTTGATGAATTTATGGAAGCAGTTGTTAAACGTTGGGGTCGTTCTTGTTTAATACAATTTGAAGATTTTGGCAATAAAAATGCTTTCCGTTTATTATCAAAATATAAAAAAGATTATTGTACATTTAATGATGATATACAAGGTACTGCTTCGGTTGCTGTTGCTGGTATGCTTGCATCATTCCGTAAAACAAATACCAAAATTAATCAACATAGATTTCTATTTTTGGGTGCCGGTGAAGTATGTTTCATTCATGTTCTTTATTTTCTAAACTTTCAATTTTTAAATTCAAAACAGGCTGCATTAGGTATTGCTCATTTATTGACAATGGCTATGGTTGAAAATGGTATGGATGAAGAAACTGCCAATAGTCAAATATGGCTTATCGATTCACAAGGTTTGGTTACACAATCTCGACCTGGTATTCGTGATGATGAACATAAATGGCCATTTGCTAAAAATGTTAAAAATACAAAAGATTTGATGGAAATTGTTAATCTGGTTCAACCATCTTGTTTGATTGGTTTGTTTGTTTTGTTTGTCATTTAATTTTTAATGATTTTCTTAATTTTGTTGATTGATTGATTGTTATTAATAGGTGCCGCTGCTGTACCAGGTGCATTCAATGAATCAATATTAAAACGAATGGCCGAACTAAATAAAAATCCAATAATATTTGCACTATCTAATCCAACATCAAAAGCTGAATGTACTGCCGAACAAGCTTATCAACATACTGATGGACGTTGTGTATTTGCAAGTGGTTCACCATTCGATAATGTTGTTTATAAAGGACAAACATTTGTACCTGGACAAGGAAATAATGCCTATATATTTCCAGGTGTAGCATTAGCTATAATGGCTTGTCAAGTACATGAAATTGTTGATGAAGTATTTTTGGTTGCAGCCAATGCATTAGCTGAACAAGTATCAAAAGAAGATTTAAATATTGGCAGTGTTTATCCATCATTGGATAATATTAATGAAGTATCATTATTATTAGCCGCTCGTGTTGCTGAATGGTTTTTCAATAAAGGTTATGCAAATGTCAGACCAGAACCGGATGATAAATATTTATTTCTTAAATCACGTCTTTATGATGCATTATATGATGGATCCAATTTTACAAAACATGTTGAAGAAAGTCATCATGCATGGCATCAACATGATTGAATTGAATCGAAATTACCTTAACGAAAAAAAAATTACTAAAAAAACTATTATTATTATTATCAATTATCAATTATGTTTGACTAAATTACAATTTAAAGAAAAAATTATAGATTACTAAACCCTTTACACACACACACACACACGCCAAATATATGAGATTAATATATATTTTTGTTCACCAATTTGGAATTGAGAAACCAAAACACACATTTGACATTGACTGAAAAACAAAACAAAACCTTAAATAAGTCAAGTTTAAAAAAATTTTCTTCAAAATAAATATAGATTTCAAAAAAAAAATTAGTGGATTAAACCAAAAACCATGATGAACATTTTTCAATTGATTTGATGTGATTGTTGTTGTTGTTTGAAATGAATTTTAAAAAATAAAAAAAAATTTCTTTTGGTTTTTAACTTTGATATTATGACATACAAATGGAACATTATAATTCAAATTGGATCGATCTAAATCATCATCATCATCATCAATCAATCAATAATCATTACAATTATCGATTATATTCATATTTATTTATAATATTTATTGGTAGTATAATTAATGATCAACAAATATTACAACAAGAATTAATTATATTTAAATATTCAAATCCAAATTTAATACATGAATTATTTGTTAAAAGTGGTTGGCCATTTTTAACATTTTTTCTACATAGTTCTCTAACATTTATAACCTGTGCAATTATTTGTAAAATTCATTATAATGATAATAATAATGATAATCGACAATCAACAATTACCAATGACAGTTGTAATCAAACGCTTGACATAAAATTACGAAATTATATTGGTAATAAATTTATTCGTATAACAATATTTATGTTATTATGGTTTTTAACACAAGAATTTTTTGATTATTATCAATGGTTAACAAATATTGATTATAATGGCTATGGTAGTAATTTTTCATTCGATATTAGTGGCCATATTTATGTATTGATTTTATCTAATTTATTTTTACAACAAGAATCACGTTTTTTACAACAATATCTACGACAACAACAACAACAATATTGTCAATCAAAAATCGAAGATGATGATCAAGATCTTGAAGAAATTGAAATGGCAAGAAAATCATTTCATTTCCATAATAACGATAATGGTGATATTTTATGTTATCCAGGTTTTATACAATTTACAAATGATGATGATGATGATGATCGAAAAATTGTTGTTTCAACCCAATCATTCAGCAATATGAAATCATTACCATTATCACCACCGTTATCATCATCAACATTATCATCACCATCATCAGCAGCATCAACAATGAACCAGAAAATGAAACCAGTTTCAGGTTTCAATCATACCTGTATAATAATAAATATATTTATAAAATTAATATCAATCATATGGGATATAATCCTTTTACAAACAATATTTTTCTATCATACAACTATTGAAAAATTATTATCATTTATATGGACCATTTGTTGTTGCCATTTTCTTAATAATTCATTTTCTTCATCTACATATAAATATCTATAATAATCTAAATTTAAGTTGAATCCAAAAAAATTTTATAAAAGTTTTACAAATAAAAAACAAAAATTTAATTTAAAAAACCCATAAACGAACTGTAATTGTTTTTTTTTTGTAATTAGATTTTAATTCGACACGAAATATTTTCAACAAAATCAGATTTATTTAATCGATTAGAAAAAAAAAGAAAAATAAAGTAAAAACCAAACGAAAATCTCTATATATTCTGTTTTTTGTTTTTTTATCATTCCTAATTTGTTTTGTTTTGTTTCTGGGTGGATTACATGAATGAATCAATGAATGAATTTTTGTTCAATACTACTAATAATATATTATTATTATCATTATTATAATAAGAAGAATGTGTGGGAAAAAAATGACGACAATCAAGACAGATGTTGGTAATTCAATTCAATGGGCATCAGTGTGTGTGTGTGTATGGATGCATGATGTGTGTGTGTATGATTCAATGGATCTTTGAATAACATTTTGGGATAACATTTTGTTTTTTAGTTCTTTCTTTTTTTTTGAGATTGTTGTTTTCATTACTAGAATATATTATTATAAATAAAATTTTGTTTTTATAAATAAAATAATAAAAATTGTTCGGAAAGAGATTTGGGAGAAAGAAAAAAAAATCACAAACACACGAATACTATGACAGAATTTTTTTTTGTTTGTTTGCTGTATAATCAATTTTTTTCAAAGTGCTCCAAATGGATCGATTGATGAATTATTATTATTATTGGTTGCTGTATTGTTGTTGTTTGTTGTTGTTGTTGTTGATTTTTGACCGGCCAATATACTGGACAATGTTGATGCATTCACAGTTTGTGGTAATATTGGTACGGCACCGGGTATCATTGATGGATGTCGTAACTATTAGAAAAAAATCAGTAAATCAATCAATGAAATCAATAGATTTTTTTTGGTTAAAATACCTGAAATGAATTACCCATCATCATTGTTTGTGATGGTTGTTGTTGTTGTTGATTAGCAAATAATGTTGTTGATGATGGTAAACCACCAATAACACCACCACCACCAATCATTGGCATTATCATTGTTGATTGTGTTATTGATGATCCTGATCCTGATGTTGTTTGTGTTGTCCATGATGATGGTGGTAATACCATTGGTGGACGATTCCATACATTTGTTGTTGCTGTTATTGGATTTCGCATCATCATTGATGATGGTGATATTGATCCACTACTATTAATATTATTATTATTATTAGTGCCATTCAATGTTGTTGATGATAATGAATTATTAACACCACCACCACCACCAGTTTTCATTGTACTTTTTGGACTTGGATTAAATTGTTGTCCTCTAAAAAAGCGAAAAAATTGGAAAATTACAATTGAAAAAACAACAAACAGCAAACCACAAAACAAACCTTTTATAATTATTAGCTCCTTTGAGACCATTAATATCAAGATTTTGTGCTAAACTAGCTAATGTTGCATCGAGATCACCTTTAACTAATATACCAGTTGTTGTTGATGCTTGATTATTATTCGAGGATAATGAGGAACTTGTTGGCACTGATGATAATAATGATGATGATGATAATGATGATGAAAATGGAATTATCGTTGACGAAGAATTATTATTATTATTATTATTATAATTAGTTGGCACTATATGATTATTATTATTATTATTATTAAATAAATAATTATTATTGGTCATTGAATCGATTGAATTCATTAATGATTTTTGATTCTTGATTAATGTGCTAACATTTTGTGGTTGTAAAACATCACCAAATGCATCGAAACCTATTTATATCAAAACAAAACAAATAAAAAACATTAATCAATCACAACAACAACAACAAAAACGTGGAATATTTTTGGTTTTGATGTATCATGTTGGAGCAAAAACAAAACAAAACAAAAATAGCAAGCCTTAGCAGCAACAAAACAAAACAAAAACAAAAAACGATTCTTGTTAATTTTGTTTCTACGTAAAAAAAACTTAAGCAAAGCAAAGCAAAGCAAGCATTAATGAACCTAGCCAAAATCAAATTTTTTGTAACATCCAAAAAACAGTGAAAATGAATAACTCATATATCACATATAGGCACGTACACCACAAGGAGCTTGATCAGATAAAATGAATCAATTTGAATATTAGATCAACAACATCTTACACACACACACACACTTTTACCCACATTCACATCCACTAAAATATAAGAATGTATAGAAGACACACACACACACAAAGAAAAACATAAACACGAATGAATAAAGAATGTGATAAGAACGGAAGAAAGATAATGATGATGAATTAAGCCAAAAGTATTATGCTGATGATGATTATGATGAATATTCAAATGAATCTATATTATGATGAAGAAAACGATAAGAGAAATATATTTAGGAATGAATGATAAGAATCGCTAATGATAAGAAGCATCTATTTTTCGCAATTATTCTTTTTCTGATTCATTATTTTCAGCTATATTTTTTTCATCCAATTCTTCTGTTGGTTGTTTTTTATCCATTGTATCTTCTTCGACTAATTTTTCGGTTAAATTATTTGATTTTGAATCAGAATCTGATATAGTAGTAGTAGTGGTGGTTGTAGTAGGAGCAGCAGCAGCAGCATTAGTTGTTTTATTATTCATCATCATTTGTGACATCATCATTTGCATTTGAGCCATCATTTGTGCTGGATCTTGAACATTACTTCCTGCTGCACCTGCAACTGCAGCACCCCCTCCACCTCCACTTTGCATTAATTGTTGCATCATTTGTTGTTGAAATTGAAGAAATTGTTGTTGTAATTGATTTGGATCACCACCAACACCTGTTTGATTGTTGTTTACAGTTACAGCAGTGGTATCTGGAAATGAAGCTTGCTGTTTTGAAGGTGTTGTTGTTGTCGGTGCAGGTGGACGTGATGGTGGTAATTGTTTTGATCGACTAGAAGGAGTTGTTGAACCACTACCATGATCATCATTATCTTTATCTTTTCCGGTTGCAATTGATGAAGGTGGTGGTGGTGGTCGAGTTGGTGTTTGTTTAACTGTACTTTTATTTCGATCTGATTTTGAACAAAAAAGTAAAATTCAAGTTAAAAATTCTTCAATTATCATCACTCAATAAAACATACCATCAATAGTTGGTGATTTTTTATCTGTAGCCGATTCTATTGCCAAAAAACAAAAATTTTTTTTTGGTCAAAGTTCACAATGTTTGTGAAAGTGTTAAACAACAACAAAAATCGACAAATAATCAAACGAAGAGAAAAGCAATGAATATTTTTTTTTTGTTGGAAAAAATAGATGAGGAAATCAAAATTGAGAAAAGAAAGAAAGAAAAAAAAGATAAAGGAATTATATTGATTAGTAAAAAAAAGAAAAAGATAGATTTGTAAATGGAAATGGATATCGTGGAGATATTGAATTAATCTAAATTGAAATAAAAAACAAAACAAAAACAAACAGAATAAATAAGCAGGCAAAAGCAAATTGAAAAAACAAAACAAAAACCAAAAAATAAGCATCAAATATTTTCTTGTGTTATATAATATATATAAAGTGTTATATTGTGATGGAATGGATAGAATGGATGTTTAATATCTGATGATGTTGATTTCAATCAATTTCGAAATGATGAATCAAAAAGCAATTTATGTAAGATTTGTGTTTGTTTTGGTCAAAACAAAATAACAGAAAAAAAAACAAAAAAGAGGTAAAAAACGAAACAAAACGAAAAAAAGATTCACATACCTGGATACATAGTTATGACTGGTGGTGCTCTCACTAAATAATTTGTAATTTTTGTTAACATTTTTTTTAAAAACGTAAAGAAAATTATCACATTTTACAACCACACGCACACACATACACGCACAAAGTAAATAAAAAGTTTTTTTTAAAAAAATCAAGTTGAATAAGATTTTTGAAAAAAAAGAAAATGAAAAACAAACGAAAAAAAAGAAAAAAGATTGGTTGGTTAGTTGAATTGAATTGATTGAATATTGAAATGATGAATTAGAAAAATCGTCGAAATGCAAATGAAAAAAACTCAATTTCACCACCATTATTCACAACAGCAACAACAAAAACAGAATTTGTAGAAAAAATTTCCCTAGTAAACTTTATCGATTCTGTATATGAATTCTGTGTATATGTCTGAGTATTGTGTAAAACTGAAATTTTTGAAACTGAAAAAAAACTAAACTAAAAAAAATCAGTGCAATCAACTACTGTGTGTGACATGGGCAACCAAAAAAATTAAAAAACAAAAAAACCAAACTGGGAAAAATCAAACCAAAAACGAAAAAAAAACCCACTAAAAAACAAAGTTTTCTTTTTCTAAATAAACTTGCTCAGCAAAAAAAAAAATTCAAAAAAAAGAAAGTTTCTAGGAAAAATTAACAACATTAACAATTAACAAATGAAATAAAAAAACATTACCAATATTAGAATTACTGGAACTTCCGAATGCAGCAGCAAAACCATCGGATGTAGCAAAATCACCTGCAGCAGTAGTAGTTTTAGCTGATGATGATGTTGAAGCAGTAGTTGTTGCCGATGTAATACTTAATGAATTTAAAATATCAGCAAATGGATTATTGGCTGCCATAGCCGATGATGATGATGTATCCAATGAAAATAGATCAGCATTTGTTGTTGATGATTTTTCACCACCACCACCACCACCATCCATTAATAAATCAATCATATCGTTTGATTTTTTAGCCAAATCATCTTGATTATTTCCACTTGATAATGCCAAAAATGGATTATTCACCTTTTTTTCTTGTAAATGTTTTTCCTGTTTTGAAAAATAAAAAGAAAAAATTATTTAAATGAAAATTTTCAAAAAAAACCGTCAAAATGAAAAAATATAGCGAAAATTTTCACAAAACATGCACACCAGAAACAACAAAAAAAACAGTAACACTGACCGAACTTTCCGAAGATTCATTCTGAATTCGTTATTTAGTTTTTTATTGGAAAGCAAAAGTCAAAGGAAGAAAAAGAATTAGAAAAGAGTTAAAAGTTGAAAGGCATTCTGGCTGAGAAAAAAAGATAAAAATACCCCTTCGAAAATTACCTTTAATTTATTAAGAAATTTTTCCTCTTCTTCAATAGCTTTTTTAACTGTTGTTTGTTCATCCGCTGGTTTATTTTCACCATTTGATGTTGTTCTGCAAAAAATGTTGTTTTTTGTACATTAATTCAATTTGAAAAAAAATCCAATATTTACCCTGGTTTTCTTCCTTCCATAGCAGCTAAATGTTGTTCCATTGCTTCTAATAAACTACTTGGTGCTTTAGTTAAATCAGGTATTTCACCACGATCAATACCGGCCATTTCGGCTACTTTCAGAAATTCAGCCACTTTATTCATACGTGTTAAAAATTTTTTATAAATATCCAATGTTTCACGTGCCAATTTTTTATTTGTTAATTCAAAATATTTTTCCAAACAAGTGATAATACCATCATTATAGCAAGCAAATAAACGTATTAGATCTTTAAATAATAAAAAGAATGCTGCATTGATAACACTATTTGTTAAATCATTAGCATTACAATCAAATTCTAATAATGTATCGATCTGTGTTTGTAATACGGGTATTGTTTTCAATAATTTTTCCATACCCATTTGTCGTAATTGACAATCATCTCTGTATAAATGAACGGTGAATAATGAATTTTTTACAAGTAAAATTTAAAATTTACAAAAAAAACATACCCTCGTTTAACTTTGGTAAAATCAAAAGCAACCGTACGATATGATAATGCTTTTGTATTAATATAACGTGCATAACGACGTATAAATATTGACATATCATAACCTTTTGGTAATGATTTATCTAAATAATTATTTAATTGAAAATTACAATTACTTGATGCTAAATATTGTGTAAAACGTTCATTTCCATAACACATTAAATGATGTACAGTAACTAATGCTTTAAATACAACAATCCAACTTGATTGTTGTGTACGTTCAATTAATAAATTTGCCAATTGTGGTATCGATACGTTTGGTTCATCCGTACATTGTAATAAATCTTTTATAAAAAGTTTTATTAGTAAAAAAAAATTTTAAAATTAAAAAATTTTACTTACAATCAATATGTTTCTTTTTAGGTGCAATCATTTCTTCGGTTGTTGCTTTACAAACAACACGAGCTAAACCTTGACCAGCTAATGCATAACGTGCTGCATTAATCCGATCATTTAAGGTTTGCCCTGAATGTGCTCCGGGCATCATTTTTGTTAACACTTAATTATTATTATGATTACTTTTGATGATGAAAGAAATTTTAAATTTTTTTTTAAAAATCCAAATCTTTTTTATTTATTTTTCACCGGTGAAATCTGTTCCTATATATAAAAAAGAAGAAATTGAAAGTGAAATGAGAAAAATTTGAAATCAAAAATCAAAAATCAAAAAAATCATAACGCCCGTTTCATATATTTTGATAACGAACGAACGAACGAAAACAAAAAACAGGAACAAAATCAAACAAGAAAAATTATTCAATTTCACATTTCACATTTCTTTCGATTTACACATTTGATGATAAACAAAACACCAGAAAAAAAATTATTACAATGTTAATAATGTTTAACTCACATATATTCTCTCCCACTCTCTCACACTATATATACATTCAAAATCAATTGTATTTTCAAATCATCAACTACCACCACCACCATCACGATAAACATCAAAATAACTTCAAAACATAAAGAGATTATATTTAAATAAAAAATAGTAAAAACTTTAAGAAAGTTGTTATTTGAAAAAACAAAAAATCTATTGACAATAATCATCATAATCATAATCATCAATTAACAACAACAACAATAATAATGTATAGATGAAAGGGATGTTTGTTTTTTTTTTGTCTCTTCACTTCCCTCCCTATATTATTATTTAGGGTTAAATTATTATTATGGCTGTAAAATTTCCTTGTTGTTGTTTGTCAATTGAAAGTCGACAAAACCGTTTGCCGGCACATCATATCAATATAGCATCATCAAATGATGTTTGGAGTTTTTCTCTCGCAATCACAATAATTCCTGATTGATTAGATTTGAATGAATGAATTAACACCCTCTCGAATTGAATAAAGAATGACCAAATCTTTCCCTCTGTAAAATCCCTCTTTTTTTCCACAAAACAAAACAAAAAAAAACACCCACTATTAACATTGAATTGTGAACAAAAAAAAAAAGATAACAGAAACATCATCAGTAACAAGAAAAGATTCATTCGGATTTTTTTCTTTTTTTTGTAACAAAAAAGGGGGAAAATTACTCATTTATTTTGAAACAAAACAAAACAAAATTTGATTAATTGATTTTTCGTATGCACAAACAAAAGCAAAACAAAACAAGAAAAACTCCCAGGTTTGTATATGTCCTCAATATGTTTTTTACGTTGTTGTTGTTTTTTTTCGATGGTGCCCCAATAGATTTTCTCTCTTTTTTTCCCAGAGAAAAAAATAAGCCTTTCATTTCAATTTGTTCCTTGTTGATTTCATCATCAACAAACAACATTTAGTTTCTGGAATCATTTAAGAAACGTGTTCCAATGATGATGATGATGATGACCTACAAACATTTGACTTTTTTTTCAATAAAAGTAAAAAAACACACACACACGCGTAGTATACATCAAGATGATAATGATGATGATGACCAAAGCTTCTGTTTATGGTAAAATCCAAATGAAAAAATATCCAAATGGATAGATCCATATGGATATTAAACCAAGAGAAAAATAAAGGTCATCATCATTATCAACAACAACAACAACATTTTATTTCATTGTAAAAACAGTTCCCTTCTCCCACACAGCAAAAACACAATCCCAGGTTTTTCAAAATTTTCAATCAAAAAATGAATATAAATACCATACATACCTTTCTTTTGTTTGTTATTTTGGTTTTTATTTTCTTGACTAATTTCGTTGATGAAAACGACGAAAACCAGAACAAGATGTGAGAATGGAAACGTAGTGAATCTAATATGATGATTATATAATGTTTGGATCAAACACTGGAAAAAAAATGAACTGAGTGATGATGATATTGGTGGTGGTGAAAAGACCAAGATGATGAAGAAGAAGAGGGAAATGAAATTATTGACAACCACAATGTTCTATATAAATGAAAATGAAACTTTGATCAGAAAAAAATCATTTGAAGAAAATGAATGAATCGATTTTTCTTCTTGGAGCAGTATTTGGTTTTCAATAGTTTTTTTTTTCTTAAAAAACTTTAAAAATTTTGTTTTGTTTTTTTCCTATTGTTTTATCATCTGGAACCCAAGAAATCAAACAAAACTTTCGATTTGATTCGAATTGGATGATGAAAATTTTTGGAATTTCTTTTTTTTTTACTTGGGCTTTTTGTTCATCTATTTTTCTGGCTATATACAACAACAACAACAAGGCTTGGTGTACCAAACAAACATAACAGGCCAAAACAAAACTCAATTATTATTATCTATAATACTATCTTTGGTGGCTTGTTTTTGTTCGCTATATAAAAATGCGATGAATTTTTTTCGGTTATAGAAGTAAAGCAAAGATGAATGAATGAATGAATGTTATTCTACCATCAGAAGATGGAATATATAATTGGAAAAAAAAGATTATATAATATAGTGTGTGGATGATCAGTTCAAAGCAAGATTTTTTTTTATAAATGTTTTTTATTTTCCTAAATAATGAGTCGGCGTAATTCTTGTTAAATCCAGTGAAATGAATGTTAGGAATGTGAAAGTAAATTCATTTTATTATTGATTTTTTGATGAAAATTTTTGATTTTTTTAAAATTTTAAAATATTTTAATTACTAACCTCAGGATCTTAAATAATTGGATAATGTTTGCCGGTTAAAGATTTATTCATTTAGAAAAACGTTGTTGTTTTTTTCATTTGCATCACAAATCGGAAGAAACAATGAATGAATGAATCGAAAATCAAGTAATGAGATAGAGAGAAAACGAAAAAAAAAACAAACACGTGGCAAATATTTTCAATATTTTCTATAGAATCGAATGAAATCAATAGAAAAAAAAATAACAAACACAGCCAAAAGAAGAAAACAGCCAAGTAATCGAAATGTTAAAATATCATCGTTGTCGTTGTATAGTTGTTTTTAACATTAATAACATCCACATCGAACAAACAGACAGACAAACATCGAAGCAAAGAAAAATTGGTAAAAATTTTTTCTACAAGATTTTAAACAAAATATTTTGCATCAATTTCATCATTCGATGATCAAACAGCCAAAAAAAAAAAACAAAACTATAGTGGCAATAATATTTTGTTACATTCGAGCAATATGTGTGTGTGTAATTGATATCAAACAAAACAAAAAAAAATTGTAATGAATGAAATGACGGATAAATAACAAACAAACAAACAAAAATATACAGGATAAACTCGTCTCTTTGGCTCGCTCAATTTGTCTTTTTTTTTTTTTTTTTTTTTTTTTCCCCTTTTTTGGCTTTTTTTTTTTTGAAAAAAAACTTTTTTTGTGAAAAAAAAAGCC